TTACTATTAAAGATATATATATTATTAGTTAAATTAATTTTTTATTCAAAATTAGTTAAATTAATGTTATTTCTACCAAGAAGAGAAATCAAAACAGTCTAAAAAACTGTTAGAAAAATTTAAAAAGTACTCTTTCTTGATTTAAAAATAAGTTATTTTATTTTTTTAATAAAAATTTATTAAAACAATATAGTTTTAGGGTATTTTTCTCTTAGTTTTTTAGAAAATTGACTGATAAATATTTTTTATGTAATATAATTTTTAATTCTAAATCAAATATTTAAAAATAACTATCAAGTAAGCATGTGGGCCTAAGCTTAAACTTATTTTTTTTATCGAGTTTAATATTAAGATAAAGTTTGACTCAATTAACTCACGAATTACCATAGTCACTGTCAACCCTACTTGAAACTCATTCAATATATTATCATTCAACTTCTTTGGATTTGAAGATTGTGTGGTTGACGTCATTTTTATTAATAATGAAGATGAAATCTCAAAAATATTTAGAGGTTCTATAAAAAAAAAAAAGATTTAGGGATCAATTTTACATTTTTCAAACTACAATAAGTTAAAGATCCATTTTCATGATTTAAGTAATTAAATGTATATTCTTAAATCAAATGCAGTTCAGTGTAAATTTTTTATGATTTGAGGGTTAAATGCACCAACACAAACCACATGCGAATAAGAGGCCCTTTGACAAAACTTTTTCTAAAGTTCCTTTTTAGCAAAGATTTTAAAATCTATATCTTTTATATTTGAAAAATTTTGGAGGAAATGTTTACTTTTGAACAAAATAGTGCTAAAATAACTAGTTTTGCAAAAAGCAACAATCCATTGCTTCCTCCAAAACTTGTTATTTTAGCACTATTTTGCTAAACAAATACACACATTCCCTCAAGAATAATTCAAACTTAAGAAAAAAAAATTTTAAATTTTTGTTAAAAAAGTAACTTTAAAAGAAAATTTTACCAAACAACCTCTAAGTACATTTTGCCCTAATGAACGACATACAATTGTATACGTGGATGGACTATTTTTTTTGCTAGTTTGAATCTTAAAAAAGAAAAAAAAAAAGAAAAAAAAAAAAGGAAAGGATTTCTAATTTCCCCCCCTTTTTTTTTTATTGGGACGGCTCCATCAAGGTGTATGTTATAAATTTTAATCTCATATTTGCTCCATGGGCTATGAAGTGTTCCATGTGAATGGAAAACAAAATTTATTAGAAACCAAGATTTCATTTATAGCTCTCCTTCAACAAAATTATGATGAAGATGATTAGATTCAACCCTGTTGTGGACAATAAGCATATGCCTTGGAATATGTTTGAATTCTCATTTGGGGATGTAAATTTCCAAAATAATTCTTTTAAGCTCGCGGTAAAGACCCTAGAGTTTATCAAGCTTGACGCCGCAATATCACCAAGGAAGAAATTGAATTCCTTACACCATGTTTGTGTTGAGGAAAAAGCAGGGAATTATATTCCTTTTTTATCCTTTGATTGAGAATTCCAAATAGATCAATGAGACCCATAGCACGACAAGAGATTTTGCTTCTCGCCTCTTCCTAACTCTAACTCTTGTGACTGGACCTCGTGAAATATATAATGGATCTCTTGACATGGTACATGTGCAATCATCTTGATTCCCATCATCCTTTCTTTTCCTTTCTTTCCCTTATTTGGATAACTAGATAAATTAAAAGAAAAATAAAGTAAAAAATTTATTTTCCCTCCCCTTTCTTCTAATTTTTTTGATAACCAAATAAAAAAATTGTTTCTCCTCTCCCCTAGTCTCCTTAATCCGAATATATTATTAAGATTAAAGCCAACTATAGTCCCCTTACTTTTGATTTTGATCTATTGTCCTTCTCATACCTATAAATCGTTCACAATCCTCAAAATCATATTATTGTCGTCCCTCTACCCAAACTTTCCATAACGTTCTCCTCCCTATTCTCACACCGTCACTTGGCTTCATTTTTTTCTTTTTTTTTTCTTTTTTTTCTTTTTTCTGAACTTTGAAAATTTTTGGGGAGGGGAGTTAATAGTGCCTAGATATAAGATTTAGGACTTCATGTCCAAGCACCTTCCCTCAAGAGAATGGCTACTAAGCCATTTAGTACTGGACGTGCCTTCTTGGCTATTAAGCATGCTGCCTTTTGAATAAATTAATACATTTTTAGGTAAATTATTGTCAATTATTGGCCCCATATTATTCCACATCAGCCAGCAAAATGGGTTCCAAAGTCAACAGTTGACGTGGGTGGACTCCACTTTTTACACTTTCCTTCCAACACTTAGTGGCTAGCAATTTAAGTTAAAGTTTTTTTTTTTTTTT